TAGAGTCACACCACCTCACAGAAAATGCTAACGAACGCTCCGCACTTCCCTCATGCAAAAGAGACAAGCGAGCGAGAGACAATGGGAGATAATAAGAGGAGGATTCCACTGGGTGAAGCATAAACCGAAGGGAGGAAAATGAAAAAGGATATATTTGACTCTGTTGAGAGGAGAGCGTTCGTGCGTGATGTTAGGGCATCCAAACAGTATATAAGGTAAAATAGTTTGGATTATAATTTAATGATTAAATTATATTATATATATATTTATTCATTTAATGTTAATCATAAACACACATAGATCAGGAAGAAATTGAAGGAAAATTCAATTTCAAGATCGAAGGACAAAGCATTTTAAAAGATAATGTATGTTTTTTTTTTAAAAAATTAAAATTTAATTTACTTAATTTAGAATTAATATCAAATAAAAAATATTAATGTTTAACAACAATTTAGGTTCGGCTTTTGAGCTTAGACGGTTAGAGATTAGAGATTCAGTGAGAAAAGCAAGCTTAAAAATGTGAGTAATTATTTTTATTTATGCATTAAATTAATATTTTATTAAGTGGTTCATTAGATGGTGGAAAATCAATATTTCATCCATGTCTGGCATTTTGAAAGTATGGAATTATATCACAAATGAGAGGAAAAAAATAGACATATGAAGGTATATTTTAATGAATATTAAATTGATATGAAATGAAATATAAAAGATAAGTCATACAGGATTACCCCTAGATGATACTGGCAGAGGATGCAATATACCCTTGTACGTTAAAGAAAATGATAAAGGTTTATCTTAGGTGCAATTTTGTAGGGTAAATACGGGTACAATTTTTTGAGGATATCTTCGCATACATTTTTTAGGATACCTTTGAGAAAAATGGTAGTTTCATTAAGACCTAAAATGTTTAAAAGGATAAATAAAAGTGAAATGGAAAGAAAAAAAACTAAAGTGAAAATTAACAGTTTTATAAAATAATGAATTGTATCTTCTTTTAATCGTTTATGCATAACATTGACATAACAATTTAATGTATATTAAGATTATAATTGCTCACTAAGTCAAACTTATTGTTAAAATTAATAATTTCTTTCAGAAAAATAAAAAGTCGTAGGTTGAAATGTTTGGTAGGAGAGAATTGCTTTACAGAAAGACCACCGCTGCTAAGTATTTATGATAATATTTTCTTTGTACTGTCTCCTTCATATAGTAATATACTGTTCAACACTGGTTTGAGATACCTTTAAATAATGTTGTTTCAGGATGATGTGTTTTACTTCACTTAGTGAATTTTAGTGGCACTTTTATATAATAGAAAATTCTATAAATTTGTGGATAATTATTTAAATGTTTGCCCAATCCGACAACAATTCTTGACTTAGTTAATTCTATGCTATCAGGCTAGATCGTGACAATTCAATGACACAGAAACCTTGATTTCTAACAATCATGATCTGCATCAAGCTTGCCTGAGACTATTTTGAATATCTTCCAGCAATGACATCATCGTCATGGTTGTTCAAATGAATCGACCTCATCTTCTAGTCCACAAAGCAAGGCTAGCATTCTCCTGCTGCCATATCTCTGCTTGCAGGCCCTCAATTGCCCTTCTCTGCACTTGTATTTCTTACTACAGTCCCATCAATGTTTTCCTTTGCCACCAAAACTCTCCCTGCAGTTGAAATCTTCCTGTTGCAGGCCCTCTATTAGAACCCATTCATCCAAACTATAAGCCCTACTCTAGAGCCCCACCTCTTCCTCGCACCGGAATTCTCCCTGCAAGATCTCATCTGTTCAATTATTGTTGCTAGAAACTTCCTAGCAGCAATCCTCCACTGATTTCTCTCTACAGACACCTTCTTCACCTGAGTTCTCCTATCTTAGAGCAGCAATAAGAACAACATCATCAATAGCCAGTTTTACTCCATGCAACAACCAAACCTCTACCAGTAGATGCAGTAGGCAACTCCTAGAAGCAACCCTAAATACACATGGCATTTATGAACAAGTACATGATGAAGACATCTAGTTTTAATCTGAAGGTTCCTGAATATCACATCAACCTAATGACATACGAAGGTAATATATCTTTCTCAATGCTCTAGTCAACTATTAAGAGGCTTCTACATCCAGATCAATCAGACTTAAAGATGGATTACACTAAAAAATCGTTGGAAAAAAAAGATGTGGAGTTTTCTAAGGATATTTCCTTCCTTTGTTTTATATGTTCCACAATTAGACATGCATCTCCTTGAGTTATCCAGCTCAATTATGATTTGACATCAAGTTTTGAAATATTTTTGGGGGAAAACAGTTCTCACTGCAATATACCTTATCAATAGAATGCCTAATAAGGTATTTAACTTCAAAACACCTCATTATATTTTAATTGTTACCTATCCTCGTATCAGAGTTTTCTCTTCTACTATATCGCTTAAAATCTTTGGGTGTGTATCCTTTGTTCACATCCATTTTTTAAATCACAAAGAATTTGACCCTACATCTATCAAATTCTTTTTTCTTGGTTATGCCTCCAATAAAAAATGAGTATAAGTGTTACTCTAATGTTATCAGAAAATACTACAACCCCATTGATGTCACATTTTTTTTTTAAATAAATCCGACTACCTCAAATCTGATGTTCAACGAGAGAGCGCAAATGAACAACAATTTTAAAATGCACTTGACGACACCTACACAGCCTCACCACCTACTCCAACTAGCCCTCTTATCCTGGATGAGGATATCCAACCAATTCAACCAACCCAAGTTGAAGTCTACAACAAAAAACTTCATGCGTAAACAATAATGAAGAAAAATATTAAGCAAGTGGAAGACAAGTTGCATGGACATAGCTACTCAAACCAAAATTGGGCTCTGCATTCACTTGAGGTTTAAGGTCATGTGTCTAGCACTCAAGAGTTATCTCCTCTTCCGATGGAGAAAAGGAAAATTGCATTAGATATTCAATTCAGAAGTATGTAGCTTATGAAAAGCTATCCTCATTCTACAAAGCTTTTGTTTAAAACATTGATAATGTGCATATTTCTAAATCCATTTATGAAGCTTTTGAAAATTCCAAAATAGAGGAAGCAGTTAAAAAGGAGATTCTAGCACTGAGCATAATTACACTTGAATTCCTATAAAACTCTCTCAATATAAGAAATTTTGATATAAATGGGTGTTCAAGATCAAATACAAAGTTGATAGAGTATTAAGAAATTCAAACCCAGACTTGTAAGAGTTTTCACTCAAACCTATGGAATTAACTATAAGGAGATATTCACACAAATTGTAAAACTCGACACTATTCGAAATCTCATTTTGGTGACAGTTAACAAAGAATGGGAACTGCATCAACTTAACAACATAAAAAATGTATTCTTGAACGGGGATTTGGAAGAAGCGGGTATGGATATATCACCATGACTTGAGAATGATTCCAACAAACACCAAGTATGCAAACTCAGGAAGTCTCTATATGGGCTTAAGCAATCACCAAGAGTATGGTTTGAAAGGTTTGCGAAAACTAAGAGATCTAATAAATATTCAAGAGGTCAAATTGATCATAATTAATTTATAAAACATGCTCAAAGAGGTAAGATTGTTGTACTGATAATATATGTGGGTGATATGATACACATTGGTGAGAATTAAAAAGATATTCTCAAGATCAAAGAAGTTCTTATCATTGAGTTTGAAATCAAATAACTAAGAACCATAAAATATTTTATAGGTATGGAGGTAGCAAGATCCAAGAAATTATATCACAAGAGGAATTACATCCTAGATCTACTAAAGGAAACATATGATTGGATGCAAACTTTCTGATTCTTTAATGGTTCCCAACAATAAGTCCAATAAAGAAGAAGAAAGCATATCAATGAATAAGGGAAAATATCAAAGATTAGTTGAAAAATTCATTTACTTGTTACATGAGCGATTAAATATTGCATACTCTGACAACATTGAATCAACACATGAATAAAAAAAATGAATAGCATTTGGAGATGGTGTACATAATTCAGAGATTCTCAAGAAGACTCCTAATTATGAATTATTTTTTAAGAAAACAAAAACATAAAGGTAGAAGTCTACAATGATACAAGTTGAGCTTGGAAACTCAATGATAGAATGTCCAACAAAAATTATTGCTCCAATTTATGGGTAAATCTAGTTACATGGAGAAGTAAGAAGCACGTTGACGTATATAGAAGCAGCACTGAATCAGAGTACAGGGCACTCGCCTTAAGAATCAGTGAAGGGATTTGGATTCAAAAATTATTAAAAGAACTTGAGTGCACCTCCAATTGCCCTATACAGATGTTTTGTGACGGTCAAATAGCCATCAGTGCAATCAAGAATCGAATGCATCATGATAAGACCAAACATATTGAAATTGATAGACAGTTTATCCCTAAAAAAGGTTAACGATGGAATCATATAGATAAGCTAACAAGGCGTGATGTCTTCACCAAAGCCCTTCCTTTAAGCACCTTCTCAAAGTTCAATAAAAAACTTGATATCTACAACATATGACCCAGCTTGAGGGAGAGTGCAAAATGCTGAGAAGTTCGGCTCATCTGCATGGTGGGTTCACCGATTGCTTCACATAATAATAGAAAGATTTGATTAGGGATATTTTTAAAAACAACTTTCTTAGCTTTATTCCTGTCCTATTTTTATGTTTCATTATTTTTTATTTCAGAATTATTTCCTTTCCTAATTTAGACTAGATAAAATTGGTAAGTTTGTCAAACAGAAGGGATTAGTTTCTCTCTATATATATAGCCTGCATGTGAATTATTAAAAAAAAAAGAGTAATTTTCCTCCCAAAATTTATTTTCTACAAAAAGCATCAACAAGCAAAAATTTTTCTGTCATTCAAAGCAGTGAAATCATATGATCCAAGCAATGTTAAAGAAAAAATGTGTAAACGTGCACATACACACATTTTTTCTTTAACATCGTACCCACACACACATCAATCTACTTACATTCTATCTTCCTCAGACTTGTACGTGATTAATGCATTTGATGCAGGGGTCAAGTTGTAAGGATCATATGCTAAAAAGTATGCTTTGTCCACTCCTTTCTTACTCATAGAGAAATCTGATTTGCCACCTGAACATATATTTAAACAGATTATATGAGAAGCACCAGTGGAAAGTAATCTTTTTTGACGCTCAAGGATCCCAGTAAAACAGTTGGGTCGAATTTCAGCTTCATCAATACCATCACAGGCTACCTCTTCCACAGTTCTTGACGAATTCAGCTCAGAGTTGCATACTTTTGGCATTTGTATAGACTGAGTAGGTTTCTTACTGCTGTTGCTTTGAGCAGTCTCTTCCAGCAGATTGATTTGAGGTGAAAACCTAATATCATGATCAGAGGAGCATCTCTTATCAATGAAGTCATTTTGTGTTGGCGTTTCAATTGTACATTTCTCTATGATGCTTGCCTCGGAGTTTTCTTGCTTTCTGCCAGAACAGCTCAACAAACTAAATGATTTCCTGTTCTTTTTGTAGCAAGCGGAGAGGAGCTTTATTCTTATCTCTACATAACATCCCAATATATTCTGAAATGAACTTGCAATTGATTTCCATGATTTCTCTGCCTTTCTAACATGTTCTGGATGATTAAAATCAATTGTAGCAATTGCAAGGCCTTGAAATTGAAGGGTATACCAGATCAGGAAATGAAACTTTCAATATAAACTATAAAAGTAATAAAACAATACAACAACAACAACAACAACAACAACAAAGCCTTAATCCCACTACGTGGGGTTGGCTACATGAATCATTTTTCTCCATTGTGTTTCTCCATTGCGTCCTATTTAGAAAAAAGTAATAAAACAATAGCCATAATAAAATTTGAAAGATAGAAGCGCTTTAGCACATGACCCAGAGTAAGATAACAATTCAAGAACAACAATGAAACTGTTAGTTTCACAATTCTTTTGTGCAAAATTTTTAATAGCAATCTATATTATCTTGTCATATTGCGTCCTGCAATTAAAGAGAATTTTGTGCGCTTGAGCATCATCAGCATTGGTTCACTACTATCATTGAAGAAGTGCATCATTTGCAGGTTATTCCCTAGCGAATGCCATCACTACTATACAATGGTAGGAGATTGTGAACCCCAAAAAGCTTATGATGGTACTTTCTAGTGTTTTGATGATTACAAATCTAACTTGTTTAACTTGGTTACATATTGGAATGATACTAATTTAAATGTTCAACATACTGAAAAACTTGCATTCAAAATTCTAGAGAAGACTGTAGTTCAATTTAATAGCCTAGCTAATTCAAGGACAAAAATTTTGAAGATGAAGCTTTACAAGTATTTAAAATGTCATTGTTCTTTTATATATTTGAGTCTTACATGTATATATTTCATGAAGAAGACAACCAACATATGCATATAAGAGCTTCGATAAAAAATAATCTAAACTGATCATAGCAAAATATATTGTGCACATTCGTATCTAATGGAAACGACTAGTCAATAAAAAACTTTCAAAAATCCCATACACAAAAGCGCTTAATTATTGGATTAGCATTAACCCTAGATCCACGATGATGTTTATCCTGATATGAAAAGAAAAGGATAATTATTTCTCTAACCAAAAGAAGTAAAATATCACCCCCTGCAACAATTTTTCCCGTTTGAAGATTGCAGATTACAAAAACAAGCCAACCAACCCAGTCAAAACAACCTTTGCTAGAATTTTTGGTTAAGTAAATTTGAGCAAAAATTTAGCAGCAAAACCAATATCAAAACAGAAAAAATTGCCCAAAAAGCCTCCTCAAAGAATACAATAGCATCCAGAAGACTAAAATGAAAAATAAGTTCTCCCAACAAGCTCCAATTTCAAAATTTGAAATAAAAAAAAAAGATTTAATTGCAATATTTGCCCTTGAAGCAATCACTCACACATAAGTGAATAATACATTTGTAAAGCAGATGCATTTCCAAAGAATATATAAAAGTAAGTGAATATAATCATCATCAGAATGTTAGGCCTTGGCTAATCTAACATTTAAAAGCAATTTAATATGTGCATGACTGGAATAGTAGATGACAGGGAGAAGAAATGAAACTCCATTTATTTTAACTACAAACAAAATTATAATAAAAAAGGTCCGTGTGTTTTACCTTCACTGAAATGTAATGCTGACAAGTTCCCTTCTTTCCGCAGAAAACTCCTTAGTTTACCAGACTGGAATACTGTCATAGCTCTTCTCCAAATGGTTTCAAGTTTTGCTCTATTGCAATGTCTTCCGGGGCAGTTCTGCTTGTTACACCCATAGCAGATGAATTGCTTCTGAATTGTTTTAGCTGAGTAAGAATCCAAAGCCTCACAGTCTGTCCAATTAAAGAAAAAAAGATAATGAAAAAAGTTGCAAATGCAAAGACGGAGAAATTTCCAAAAAATAATAAAAAAAACTAAGATCACCAGCTCAATTAGCTCAGCTTTCTATCACAATGAACAACAAATCAAATAGACTTTAACTCTTACCACTAAGCAAAGTCACTTTCGAACATTCCATAGATTCATGCACATCAGTGAGAGAAGGTTCTTGAGCACCAAATTGTAGAAGTGCCACAGTAAGCCAAGTTGCCTGATTTGTTGATGTTCTTAGTTGTTTTTCAGTTTCAGACAGAATTTTCAATGCATGACGAAGTTTCTGAATACCTGCCTGAGTCACTGCATCAAAAGTACAATAAGCTAAACAACTTCAAAATGAAACAAGAATTAGCAACTTTAAGCTACAAAGCTAGCAGTTATTTTGAGATTATGGTCAAATGCTTGAAAAAATAATACAGCTGTTCAACATACTTGACAGGGAGAAGACATGAAACTTAGCTTGAATTTTATTTATAGTGTGCAAAACCAAGAAATTAAAATAAATCAAATACACGGAATGAAATAAGGGCGGTTTTGGATGGAGGCGAGGTCCAGCAGAGGTTAAACAGTCGAGCTCTTCCTGCAGCCCAAGTGGAGGAAGCTAAGGCCCAAAACCAGTTTAGGACAGCTCCAAAAGAAGCTCAACTCAACAATTTAGCACAGAAGGTGGGGAGGTTCCAGAAGCAGAGAAGAGCTCAGCATGTGAGATGAGGGTATGCAAATGACAAGCAAATTTGCCGATTTTGTGATGAATGGAGATCGTTGAGGCTGTTGAGTAGTTTTTGGACCTTCTCAGCAGTTTTTCTGTTAATCTTTGTTCAGAGATTTGACAGTTTTCTGATTTCTTTTATTTTTTAATTTAATTTCCAGGTTAGAAGAACTATAAATTGAACTTATCAGCTGCAATGGATTTTTATGCTATTAGTAAAGTTTCCTTTGAGAAGAGAATGACACAAACTTGAAGAGTGCACTTCTATCAATTTGGTACCATTTGTGCTTTCGTTGCTCAATTGCTCACAATGAAGAATGAAGAGATGGCTACGGAGGCAAGTTTCAAGCAGCATGCTGAAGGGCAGGTTGAGAAATTTACCTTGCTCCTTGAGCAGAACAAGGCCACCATGGAGACTTGTCTGAACCAGCTTTAGCAGCCCCAAAAGGGGCATCAAGCCGGCGAGGCCAATACCAGCGCCGAGCTTTGGTTGACCTGAGGAACTCAGAACATTTGCAAAATTCCTCGGATGAGTTTGAATTCCATTTTGAAAACACTGCGTCTGGATATACCCATATTTGATGGTAGTAACGTTGAGAACTAGATTTACAAGATTGGCAAATTTATCACCCTCCATCTTATGGACACCTAAGATGAGACTTCTTATGGTTGCCTTCCACCTTGGCGGCGAGCCTTCCACCAAGTACCAATGGATGGAGAAAGGAAGAGCTCTTCTGAACTGGGAAATCTTCCTCCAAGAACTCCATAAACTGTTCGGTGCTATGGTTAATGATGATCCTTTGATCGTTTTGGTCGAACATAGAAGATGATACAAACTGGAACCGTCTCTCAGTTTCATGCTGAGGTTGAAGCACTCATGAACCGTCTCTCCGAACCCATGTTTTTAACTTTTTTATTTCAGCACTGAAGCAAGAAATTCGTCGCACACTACTGATTTCTTGGCGATTATCCCTGGTCGAAGCTATTGTTGTAGCTCAATTGTTTGAGGAGCAAATTGAGGATTTGGTCCATATACCGAAATGTGAGGTGTTTCGGTCTCTTGACGATGGAGTTGCACAAACCAGTTCAAAAACAACACATTGGAGTCTATAGTTCCTAATTCCGTTGTCAGAAATTTCCTTCAATCACAAAGAGGAAGTGCATCTTTGGGACCTACTCCACTTCACATCCGAAATCTCACCCTAACGGAATTGCACGAGAAGAGAGAGAAAGGCCTGTGTTTTAGTTGTGATGAAAAATACAACATTAATCAACATTGTAAAAACCGAGCTCTTGTGTGTGGTGAGGAGGATACGGAAGATGTGTCTGAGGAGACCGAGCGAGTTCTAGAAATTAGCATTGTAGATGAGTAGGTAGAGGACATTCTTAATTCCTTCTCCAACTAGTTGAATCCTCAGATATTTTGGATTATGGCGACACATGGAAAGGAGAGAGTAGCAATATAAATAGACACAGGTAACAACAATTTCGTATAGTAGGCCTTAGTAAATGTTGACCTCATTTTTGGTGAGGTCTAGTCTTCCTCTTAGGGTTTAGGATCTAGCCTTAGGGATCTCCCTTAGACTATCTTAGAATCTTAGAAGCGGGACCCGCTTCGTATTAGAAATTCTTACAATTCGGAGAATCGACACGTTCGATCGCCACAATTCACATCGCTTGCACTACATCGCTTGCACTGTCATCGCTTGCACTGTTACCTGTCGAAGACTCGAATAAACCTTTTGAAACGATGAATCACGGGTGTAAATTTTGTGAAATTTAAATTTTGACGCGTTTTTGGCCCGATTGTCGACGACGTCGTCCAAGCGACCCCAAATGACAAAACGGACTGTGCCGGTGCGTCCGGAACGTCGATTTTGCCTAAGCATAACACTCATTTTGTTACGACGCCGCGCGTGAGTAAATCACATATGAATTAGTATATCTATATATATATATATATATATATATATATTAAAAAGTAGAATTCTTATTTTCTTCTGGATCAAGTTTTTGGTGTAGTTGCAAAGTAGGAAAGATAAGTGGAGAATATAATTGCATACATTGTTATACTGTTGCATAGAAACAGTCGGGATCAACACACATGGTTAAATCCTTCTCCCGTACTCGTGCCTGGCCTTTCCCTTTCTCGGTATCGAGCCAACTGAGCTCCTCCCCCTCCACGCGAGAGAGAGTTGACTTCTCATTCGTCCTTGCCTGAAATTTTCTGCCCGCGACCCTCCTTCTCGAAGCCGTGCCAGTCTCCCCGAGCTGTGGTTTTCCTTTTCTCCTTTTCTTGATAATTTGACTCTGGGAAGCTTGTTCCCTGGTACACTTGAATGACAAACTCTCTCTTCTTCCCGATACTTTCCTCGCTGCCACTAGGCTCGCCGCTTGGTCCTAGATGTTTCAGTTGCTTCGCCTTCTGTGAGTAGGGAATGCGTCATTTTCTTCTTTGGTCTGATTCGAGTACCGAGGTGGATGGGGTGATCTTCTTTCTCTTCTCCTCTCTTCTCTGCCTATAAACACAGTTTCTTTTGGAATTTTGGGGGTTGTTGAAAAGTTTTCTAAAGAAAGGGGTAGAGATTTTGGTTGTGGGAGAAGTTTAGGAGGAGATTTCTGTGAGAGCATCTCCTTGAGGTGGTTTCAGGTGTTGCGGTGCTTTAAATTTGCATCAAAGGAAGGTACTCTTCTTCACCCCTTCTCAGTGCCCTGTTTCCTTTCGGTTTTCTCTCTGCCGAGCCTTCGAGCATGACCTTGTTGGATGGTACAGCATGCTAGTTTACTTTACTTTCATATATTTTTGAGATATTCGCATGTGAAGAATGAAATGTGAGCATGTGTTAGAAATTAGACTTGGATATTCGCTTAAGGTGGTGGATATATCCTATCATATTTATGTCGGCAGCGATTTGGATAATTAAAGCACGGTTTTGGAATAATTTCTACTCCTCTTGCAAACATGTTGGGATGTGTATTATGAAACTTTTCATTTATCTTTCGTTTAACATGAGATATTGAAGAATTTATTGGGTCTTTCATGCATGTTAGGGGGTTTCGGCTTTGGCATCTTAAGACTTGCTCTTGCTTAAAATGAATGCTAGAGAGTTCACTTTACTTTTTATACATATGTGGGGGCTGGGTTTAGCTCCTGCGGCTTTCCCTTGCTTGAAATGTATGCTATGAGAAAATTTATTTAATTTGGAAAGTGTTGTAGTTTGTTTTGAGGGCTTCGTTTAGCTCCTCGTGAGGCACCTCCCCTGTTCAAATATTTGTTGAAATGATTTCATGCTTGAAATATTTAGACATGCAGGTTGTTCCTTGGCTTTGGATGGCTCGTTCTTACCTTAAGGTGGCTGGGACTTTAATTTCTATTAAAGCCTGAATTTGTATCAATGTTTGAGTCTTGTTTTAGCCTTGTTGGGCTCAGTTTTAGCTTGGTTTGGAGTCTCGGCTTTGGCTTGAAATGACTATAACTCTATTTTTTTTATGGAAGCCTGAATTTTAATATTGTTGGGTGTGGTTTTGGTGCTTCTTAAACTCAGTTTTGGCTTGTAATGGCTCGGTTTTGGAGCTGTGTGGGCATTCGGCTTTCATTGCAGGAGCATGAGATGTTGACTTTTTGTTGAGGTGTTGAAGTTTTCTTTGCTAGCTTTAAGAGGCTCACTTTGGGCTCTTACTGATTTTCGATTTGTTTAGAAGTGGCTGAAATTTTAATTTCTATTAAAGCCTGAATTAATATCAATGCTTGGGTCCTGTTTTAGCCTTGTTGGGCTTGGTTTTGGCCCTAGTTGGGAGCTCGGTTTGCTTTATTTGGCTCTTACCTGAGAGGTGGTTTGGAGATGGTTTTGCTGTCTTTGGTTCCTACTCCTACCCGTGAGACCTATTGAAGTTTCTTGAGCTTAATCTACCCCCTCTTGTTGAGTTTGAATCATTTGAATGATTGTAGATGGATCAAACTTATTACTTTGAGAGATTGGTGATGTTTTATACTCTCCTATGCATATCAAAACTTGTAGGGAATTGATTCGAGTTTGCCTTAGCCATGAGCTTCACTTGTTGTTCCTTGGGTTTGCCTCAGCCGTGAGCCTCCTCTGCTCCTGTGCCTCGGGTTTTCCTTAGCCGTGAGCCTCACTTGTTGTTTCTTGGGTTTGCCTCAGCTGTGAGCCTCCCCTTTTGGTCCTTACCCGTGAGGCCTATTGGAGGTCATTGGGTGTGATTTGGTCCTTCTTGCTAGGCTTGATTGACTTGAGTGTTGTGGATGAATCAAGTTTGTCATCCCAAAAATTATAATCACTTTAGTTATCCTTTTATGTTTGTCAGGGAAGCATAGTAGCCATTGGAGTTCAAGCGGGAATCTTCTCAATGGTTCAAGGTGTACATTAGTAATGTTAAGTACCCAGCCCGAGATACATAGTCTTAGGGTGGAGCTCGACATGCAGAGGCAACATTTTGTTATAGATTTTTTTGTGTTCCCAATATGGAGCTTGGACGTGGTGTGGTTCTTAGAATGCAGTGGCTTCGTATCTTGGGGGCTTGTTTACATGATCATAATGAATTGACTATGGAGTTTCATTAGAACGACAAACAA